GGGGGGGGGGGCAGGTGGTGGTGTGAAGACCCTGCTGGGGAGGCCTCCGTCTGTCTCTCTTTGTCTATCTCTCTCATGAAATCAATGAACTTTTTAAAAAATAGTTTTTAGGGACCAGCAGATGGCATAATGGGTTCATCGCTGGACTCCCACATAGTCGACTGTGGTTCAAGTCCCAGATGCAGTCCTTAAAATTCACTCTGGGAGCGTGTGCGTGCACGCCCCAAAATCCCAAAAGAATGGAGGAGAAGGGATTAGGGGGTAGCCATCCCCCGTCAACAGAAATAACCAACTCTGTAAAAATAATAATAAATGTGGTTTATGTCTTTTTTTATATATAACTTTATTTGAAAATCAGCAGTTAGTTCTCATCCACATTGACTGTTTGTAGATTTTTTTAAAGAATTATTTTATTTAACTTTTATTTTATTATTATTATCATTATTATTTTCCAGTTTGATCAGAGAGAGAGAGAGAGGAAGTGAGAAAGCAAGCCACCAGGTCCGAGACTTGAACCGTGGTCGGCCATGTGGGAGTCCAGTGCCTTTAACCACCATGCCACTTGCCGGCCCCTGTTTGTAGATTTTTTGAATGTGGTAACAGGTACACAGGTCACCAGAGTGTAGAGCTTGTGGGGTGAATCTTCATCCTCGTTTCGTTTTCTGGACAACCGCACACGGATTCGATATGGGACATTCCTTATTCCTCTGGCCCAGACGGCTTTGTTGAGTCTGGCATCAATGTGCACGTCTGGAGTCCCCATCTCTTTCATGGCAAATTTCCGAATTTCTTTGAGTGCCCGAGGGGCATGTTTCTTGAAGCCCACGCCATGGATGCGCTTGTGAATGTTGTTGGTATATTCCCGGGTCACCACCTCGGTGATGGCAGAGCGGCCCTTCTTCTCGCCACCCTTCTTTGCGGGAGCCATTCTGCTGGGCCTAAGCAGGAAAGGAATGTGGTTTATTTCTAAGCAGAATATGAGTGACCTAGGCTGGGAGAGGAGGCAAATACGTGTTTCTCAGGGTGATCAGGTACAGGGGTTCCTTTTATTTGATTTTGAGAGCAAGAGACAGGGTTTAGAATTTAGTGAAGAGTGTTTCCATTGGTCTGGCCCCAAAAGGCAGGACATGGGACATGTGGGGAGGGGGGCTTTTAGGATGTAGGTGGGTTTACAGTTTTTAGGTTGGTGATTGGAAAAGAAAGTTTGCTGAGATCAGCAAGGAAAGTACTTTAACGGAGGTGAGGAGGCTTCATACGCCTCACAAAGACACTGTGCCCGGGCAGGATGTAGGAAGGATCCTGTTACCAATGGGTCAAAATGGTCTATTCAAGTTTCTGGGGGTCATTTCCCACTTTCTGTCTCTCTGGCTATTGCATGTGCCCTATAGCAAAATTTTTCTAAAAAAAATTTTTTAAAGGTTTTTAAAAATAGTTTTTTAGGTTGGTGATTAGAAAAGAAAGTTTGCTGAGATCAGCAAGGAAAGTACTTTAACAGAGGTGAGGAGGCTTCATACACCTCACAAAGACACTGTGCCCGGGCAGGATGTAGGAAGGGTCCTGTTAGCAATGGGTCAAAAGGGTCTGTTCAAGTTTCGGGGGTCATTTCCCACTTTCTGTCTCTCTGGCTAATGCATGTGCTACAGCAAAATTTTTCTAAAAAAACAATTTTTTTAACGCCCTATAGCGAAAATCTCTCAAAAAAAAAAAATAGTTAAGGATCCTGGGATCAGCAGTTAGCATAATGGCTATGTCACTGGACTCCCATGTAGTCGACCACGGTTCAAATCCCGGACCCAGTGGCTTAAACTCACGCCGGGCGTGTGTGCGTGCGGGCCCAAGATCCTGAGAGGAGAATGGAGGAGAAGGGATTGTGGCGTGACCATCCGAAAATCTCTCAAAAAAAAAAAATAGTTAAGGATCCTGGGATCAGCAGTTAGCATAATGGCTATGTCACTGGACTCCCATGTAGTCGACCACGGTTCAAATCCCGGACCCAGTGGCTTAAACTCACGCCGGGCGTGTGTGCGTGCGGGCCCAAGATCCTGAGAGGAGAATGGAGGAGAAGGGATTGTGGCGTGACCATCCCCCCGGGGGGGTGATTTCTCGCTTTCTGTCTCTATGTCTCTTTCTGTCTGTCTGGCGAGCACACGCGCCCTATAGCATAAAAACCTCTCTCTCAAAAAAAAGTTAAGGATCCTGAGATGGTGAGACTATCCTGGGTTACCCCGGGGAACTCTGAACGTGATCACGAGGGTCCTTACAAGCGGGACCCAGGAGGTGGGAGTTTGAGGGTTACAGAGACCATGGAGGAAGCAGAGGCTGGAGTGTGCCCTTTGGAGATGAGGCAAGGCCCCAGCTGGGGCGGCCCCTCGCAGTCAGAGGGATCTGGTATGGGAAGGATTCCGCCAGCCACGAGCCAGAATGCCAGAAGTCTCCAGAAGCAGGAAGAGGCAAGAAAATGGGTCCTCTGCTGGAAGTGTTGGAATGCAACACAGGCTCCCTGACACCCTGACATCAGCCCAGCGCCCACCCCTGCCCTGCACAGTGGTGGGAGGAACAACTGCTATCTTAAGCTGTAAGTTGGTGTGGCTACCGAAGCTAACCCAGAGCATGAGGACGAAGAGTCCACAGCGAGGGGCTGGGCCTGGGCCAACTCGCTGGCAAATACCCCTGCAGGGGCCTTTTCCATGGCCAGCCCTTGGCCTCCTCCTTGCTAAGGGGGTCCGCAAGTCAGCCAGGTGGCTGCTCGGGTGCCAGGAGGACTCTGGTCACCCTGACCCCACAAGGAGACCCATGGGCCTCCCTTCTCTGCCAGCAGCTGCTCGCCAGGCCCCACTCTCTCTTCCTCCACGAGAGGGTTTCTGACCCGGCACGCGGCTGCCGAGCATCAGAACTACATTCCCCAGAATTCCTTGCCACGTGGCTGATTTCAGGCCAATGGGATGTGAGCAGAGCGCTACAAGCAATTCATAAGTCTCCCATGGGTATCCTGGGTGAGAACCCTGCCCCGAGGGAGAGCAGAGATGAGGTAGAGAGAGCTTGAGGCTGGTGGATGCAGTGGACAGACATGACACCAGGCCAGACAGTTAATGGAGGGAGGGAGGCTCCTCTCCTGCTTAAGCAGAGATTTGGGGATTCTGTGACACCCAGCTCCTTCTAAACCCTAATTAATATAACCCACCACCACCACAATGGTGATGTTTAGAGTAAGTTCTCAGAGGGGCAGGGGCCAGGCAGCACTGCAACTGTGTCCACCTGGGAAAGGTCCCCCTAAGCACGCTGGGCACTCACATATGCGCACGGTCCAGGGCTAACTGAGACTAGGAGTGGGTCTCTGCATCAGCACCCTGCTGAGGATGCTGTCTCTCTGTCTCTTTTGCTCACTGGAGAAATAAACTTAAAAAGGGGTGGGGGTGCAGCAGATGGCATAGCAGTACATCACTGGACTCCCACATGGTTGACTGTGGTTCAAGTCCCGGACCCGGTGGCTTGAAACTCATGCGGGGCATGTGTGCGTGTGCACCCAAGATCCCAGAACAGAATGGAGGAGAAGGGATTGCAGCATGCCCAACCCCGCCCCGGGGGTGATTTGTCACTTTTCCTCTCACTGTCTCTTTCTCTCTCTGGTGAGCGCTGCACCCTAAGGCAAAGAAAATCCCTACCAAAATAAATAAGTAAGTTCTCTGAGCCTGACCAGACTTCTTCCAGCTCCCTCTAAGTACTGACTTGCTTAGAGACTGAACTGGGTCCCCTAACACCCCTCTGAAGCCCTGATCCCTGATGTGACTGTATTTGGAGACTGGCCTTTAAAGAGGAAACCATGGCAGGGACTAGTAGTCAGCGTAATGGCTATGTTGCTGGACTCCCATGTAGTCGACCGCAGTTCGAGTCCTTGAGCCGGTGGCTTAAACTCATGCCAGGCACATGTGTGTGTGTGTGTGCCCAAGATCCCGAGAGGAGAACGGAGGAGAAGGGATTGCCGCATGGCCATCTCCCCTGTGGGTGATTTCTCGCTTTCTATCTGTCTCTCTCTGTCTTTCTGGTGAGCGGTGTCTTTCTGGTGTCTTTCTCCTTAATACAGACGTCGATGCCCTATAGCAAAAAACTCTCAACAAAAAAAAAGAGGCCTGGCATGGTGGCGAGCACCGGTGGTCCTGAGTGGCTGGGAGACTGGGGCAGGGAGGATCACCCAGATGGCCACCAGCAGCTGGGTGGGTACACAGACACGGCATCACACTGAGGAATATTACTCGGCCATGAAAAGAAATGCAGCACCAATCCCCAGAACGACACGGTGAGCCTTGGAAACAGGAGGCTCAGCGGAAGAGCAGTCATGGAAGGCCGCGCACGTACGGTCCCATTGACCCAGAATTCCAGAACCGGCCAGCCCACAGAGGGGGGATCAGTGGCTGTCAGGGGTCAGGAGGGAGGAGGGAGTGGGAGTGGCTGCTAGGATACAGGGTTTCTCTGAGGGGGAGGCTGTGGTGACGGTACAACCCCAGACTTGCAAAACCCCACTGTATTGTTTATTTTTTTAGAATTATTTTATTTATTAGTATTTTTTTTTAGAGAGAGAGATTTTTGCCATAGGATGCATACGCTCACTGGAGAGAGACAGAGAGAGAGGAAAAGCAAGAAAGCACACCCCTCCTCCCCCAGAGGATGCCACGCCACAATCCCTTCTCCATTCTCCTGGGATTTTAGGCATGCACACACACACGTGTCCAGCGTGGGTTTCAAGCCAACAGATCCAGGTCTTGAGCCACCTCCAGCCACATGGGAGTCCAGAACCTTAACCACTACAGCACCTGCCGGCCCGATTATTAATATTTTTAAATTTGCACGTGCGTCCACCAGAGAGAGACAGAGAGACGGAGAGGGAAAGTGAGAAAGCAAGCCACCACGTCCAGGACTCAGTGGTCAGCCATGTGGGAGTCTAGCACCTTCACCACCATGCCACCTGCTGACCCAAATTGTCCCCCTTAGGTGGGCGAATTGCATGGTGTGTGAATTATACTTCAATGCACTGTGAAAGGGGAAAGGGGGGGGAGGGTCAGACAGTGGCAGGGAAGCAAAACGCAGCGCCTTGTGAGGCTGACGCACAAGAAAACGTTCTGAAATCGTGTCTGGAGACCGCCTTGAACACACCAGGAATGAGCACACCTGTGATCCTGGGCTGGCTGACGCTGGGTGGATCCCGGCATCGAGACTCTCTCTCCCCTGCAGATAGATGCATGTCCACAGGGAAAAAATTAACCTTAAAAAAAAATGAAAGCGAAAAGAAGGAAAGAAATGGGAAGAGATTTGAGAGGACTAATCTTTTTTTTTCTTTTCTTTTTTTGGAGAGATTTTTGCTATAGGGCGTGTGCACTTGCCAGAAAGACAGAGAGAGACAGAGAGACAGAAAGTGAGAAATCACCCCCCAGGGGGGATGGCCACGCCGCAATCCCTTCTCCTCCATTCTCCTCTCAGGATCTTGGGCACGCACGCACACGCACCCAGCATGAGTTTAAGCCACCTGGTCCGGGACTCGAACCGCGGTCGACTACGTGGGAGTCCAGCGACATACCATTTTGCTAACTTCTGGTCCCGAGAGGACTAATCTTGAGGAAAGAAAGAAAGTAGGGGGCGGAAGGAAAGGGAAAGAAAGGCGGGGTTGGGAGGCCATCCTGGAGTCCCGCTGACTGTGGGCAGGAGAGGGCAGTTGGAGACCCCGCTGCGGTGTGGGAGGGGAGACTGAGCCTGAGTGTTCCTGCAGCACCCGACACATGGTCACCCCAGAAATGTCAGCTTTGTACCTATTGGGTCTGTCCTTTTGCCAGACTTGCATGTTGGGTAGAAGGCAATGCCTAGCCAGCAGGGGGCAGCAGAGGACCGCGGTGCCCTGGCTACCCGGCGCCCTACCTCCACCCACCCCTTTCTTTACCCTCCAGGACCCAGAGTCCA